TGACCTCTAGTTCGCGTTCAAGAACAGGAATTTCTGAAATACCAACAATTCTAGTAAAAACCCCAAATAATAAGTTATTCAGTGAATGCTAACGTTGCTGTTCAGTTCGCGCGCTCAGCGGCTCTGACCAATCCGACCAGGCACCGCCTTCAGTGTGAGCAGCCACTTCAATCTCATAATCCTGCTCTGGTTCTAAATCGTGAACTCTGAAACAGAGTCGATCCCTCTTGGAAGCGTCGGAGCACTCCAGACGCTCGGCCTCGACACGCACTTCCTTGTAATTCAACTGAAATTTTAATTATTTCTGAAATGTGCAGAGAAAAGTCTTTTTTTTTTAAATGACGACCTGTCCAGAAGGAGTGTGCCTAATACGGTAATAATCCAAGTTTCCATGTGGAGGACTTGGCGCTTCAAATGAGATTTCAACTGCATGTGGGAACGAAGCCTCTTCCTGAAGGCCAGTGGGCGCAGGCGGAGCAGCTGGATGGGTGGTGAAACGAACCCATTCCGAATATGGGCCTTCCCCTACGGCATTACTGGCGCGAACACGAATCCTAAGCAAGTTTTAGAGCATTTCTACAAATTAGGGAAATGGCTACTAATGAAAAAAGCATTTACCTGTATTCATTATATGGAACGAGGTTGTTCAGTGTAAGTCTCTCAGTCGAGTGTGAGGCAGTTGAGTTCTCACCCCATCGATCCACACTTTCCAGTTCATAGTCATACCCGGTGATCTTGCCATTGCGTAGTTCACAATCGGGTTGTGACCAAGTGACATCGGCACGAGTTGAGGTGACGGATCCGACACTGGAGATACAGGTCAAAGCGGGTAGTTCACATCAAGAAAAACATTAAAATAAATTTTAAAAACTTTCAGTTCTTCAAAAAGCTGAAAACATATTTGCCAGGACATTCAAGTGTTTGTAAGTGAATTGTTTTTATAAAAGTCATGAAAGTTATTCGGTCTGCGCGTGGTAATTTTCTGTAAGTATTTTGGATGTAGTCCACGTTTCAGAAAAATATCTTGAGAGAAACGAAATGTGCGATGAATGAATGAGAAATGTTCAAGTTTGAATTTATTCTAGAAATACTATAAAAACTTACCGGATGTTGTTAGGAGGTCCAGTTG